GATAACCATAATCTTCAAAAATTTAAATGTAACATCAATCGCCATTTTCTATCTTCTTGAATCCCATTAATCTTTTGTTCTTTCCTCAATCCTCCCTTGTCCTTTCTTCAGTCCTCCGTATATTCAGTCCTTTCTCTCAATTTCCCTCCTTGTAAACCCCTGCGTACTAGTGACATTTCCACATTGTTTAGGGTGAAATGATTTAAAAGAAAAAAAAATTTTACATCGGTAGTTGCCATACCGAGGCAGCTACTAGCCTATTGCGATCCATGGCGCAAGCATACTAGTGCCGACACGGGGCAGTATTTAAGGTTAACTTTTAGTAACTGTTTTTAGGGGTAATATTTAAAACTTAAAGGTGGCCTTATATGCAGAAATATACGGTAAATTACCCGGATTTTCTAATAGATTTTAATACTGGCTTCTGTAATATTTAACCCATGATCCCAGAGCGTTATAAGAAAAGTGAGATAGTGTCTCTAAAAATATTGAAATGTCTTCAACGGTTCGTTAGGTGAGGGAACATGATTTAACCACTCACTAACCCATTCTGAAATATCTAAACTTTCAGCTTTCTAAGATCGTTAAAATGGCTTTAAGTAATTGAGGCCTGTGAGTGTTGAGGAAGATCGCACTACTTCGAATATTGGGAAGTGGCGCTAAAGATTCGTAAAGAACTGTACCAAATAAAAACAAATCATACCACTTGAGGACTACCAACTACTGCAATAGCTAAAATGGAATTAGCAAATGTAATTCGAAGCGAAAAAATATCATAATCAAGATGTTAACTTCAAACAAAAAGTTAGAAAGGAAACCTCCATTAATACTGAAAAGAGTGATAACAGCTACTGGAAATGAGAAACCTATTTCCCTGAAAATGTTAGGAAGGTAGCCGATATCTATACTGGAAAGAGCGATAACAGCTACTAGAGATGAAAAACCTATTTCGATGAAAATGTTAGGAAGGTAGCCGATATCTATACTGGAAAGAGCGATAACAGCTACTGGAGACGAGAAACCTATTTCGATGAAAATGTTAGGAAGGTAGCCGATATCTACACTGGAAAGAGCGATAACAGCTACTGGAGACGAGAAACCTATTTCGATGAAAATGTTAGGAAGGTAGCCGATATCTACACTGGAAAGAGCGATAACAGCTACTGGAGACAAGAAACCTATTTCCCTGAAAATGTTAGGAAGGTATTCGCCATCTATCCTGGAAAGAGCGATAAAAGCGACTGGACTTAGGAAACTTATTTTCCTGAAAAAATGCTTTAAGAGAACGTTTTGATAAATATTAACCGACAAGTAGTACCAACTACTCGGACAATGAATGTCAAACGTTTGCTCATAAGGAACCAGCTAATATGACAATTACAAACAACTGGCTTTATCTAAGATGAACTTCCTCCAGTATCTCTTTGACATTTTAATTTCAGAATGTCCCTTGCAGTAAGGGAATAATTAGTCTTCAACAGACCTTTAGGTCACGAAACATGATTTAACTTCTCACTACAAATTATCCCCTCCAATCTCTCTCTGTGTTGCATTCTTCTTGTCTCTCACTGTCTCCCTCTCTATTTCTGTTTGACTCTCTATGCCCCCTCTCTCTTGATGTTTGCCTCTCAACCATGCGTGACAAGTGTACTAATATATAGATTCTTCCTTTATGTGCTGTGTCCCTACAACATGTGGGCCATTATGGCCCTTCACAATTTCCTCTTCCTTGTAGCTCGAAGCAACCTTTGGCAATTAATCACCCCTATTTGTCCCGGCTCTGCCATCCATTCGCATAAAATCGTCAGATAGCTTACAGGTCACTCCTCTTGCTCTTAATATGTCCCCTTGAGTGTTAAATTCTTTAAGCATCCTTTCCTCATTATGCATCCCAGAATATTCAACCTGTTCTTCCTGATTATAAGTTTAATACCGTTTTTGTACCTATGTGGTATCCTCAAAATCCTTCTGTGGAACTTTTTGTGATGTCAACGAACACTCTTTGACACTGTAATGTCAACGCTATACTCGATGTTACTTTCGTAATGCTCGTTGTAGTAGAGACTGTGTAATCGCAGATACAACTATAATAACTCCGTTGGACAAGACTGGTGCCAAATGCCCTCGGCAACACTCTCACTAATAGTACTTGCTCGATAATACTCGCTCGAAATATAACCACCGAATAGTGAGCAGTATAGAGAATAGTGTAGAGAAGAGCGATCCGTATAGTAATAGAGGATAGAATAGATATGGTGATCCGTGTAGTAATAGAGGATAGAATAGATATGGTGATCCGTGTAGTAATAGAGGATAGAATAGATATGGTGATCCGTGTAGTAATAGAGGATAGAATAGATATGGTGACCAATTAGACGTCACGCTACCTCCTACTTATGCATTTCCTTTATGGTCACGTGATCTAATTAATTCAAAATGGCATCGCTCGTGTTTGCTCACTGGCGATCTATGTTCAAACTCCACACTTCTATATAACAGAACCACGTCTATGTTGCCTCGATGCTCTTCTGCATATGTAAAAATAAAATCTTCAATCCATGATATTCTCAGTATCTTTCTGTAGATCGACATCACGGTTGCCATAAGTCTCCTCTTCGTCTGTGAGGAAAATGTCCAGCAGTCACTGCCATATAGGAGAATTGGTATTACCTAGCAGTTGAGTCTTTTTTTCTGCGTTTCTAACGATTTTTTTTTATTCCTTAATACCTAGTTTAGTTTCTGCAAAGCAGTTTTCGCTATTCCATGTACCCTTTGGATTTCTATATCACATTTTTCGTTGTCTGTTAAGACATCGAAAGGAAACTCCAATACAGAATGAAGTGAAAGAAAGCGAGAAGAAAGGACTAAACACCAATTGTAAGAAGACAGAATGCATGTTTGTCAAGAAAAGGAAAAGCCAAACATACAAATTACAAATTTAAATATCTGGGAAGTGTTTTAAGAGAAGACGGAAAGTGCAACACCGAAATTCGAACGCGCATTGGAGTAGCGAAAGATGCTTTTCAAAAGCTAAGCAAAGTATTAAGAAACATGAAAATACCATTAGAAACAAAGGAAAGAGTACGTTATGTAATGTCAGTTCTTCCTTATGGCAGTGAAAGCTGAACAATCTCTTCAAAGATGAAGGAGAAACTTGAAGCAACAGAAATATGGGTCTTACCTAAAGATGCAGATGATAGCGCGGGTTGAACATGTGCGCAACGATGAAGTTTTAGAGAAAAGTGACACAAAAAGGACAGTTGAAATTTTTTTTTTTTGCATAATGAGGAAAATGAGTTTGGAAAATCTGACACACACAGGCTATACTGAAGGTAAAATGGACAGAGGAATACATCGCATAATCTACTTAACGAGATTGTATAAATCGATGGCACAACAGGGTTGAAGAGATAGCAAAAAGTCACCATTTACTAAGGACTGCGAAAGACAGGAAATTGTGGAGAGCCATCATTGCCAACGTCCTGTAGGTACACGGCAAGAAGAAGAATGTAGTTAAAATTCTGTACTTGTTTGATTCTTATGACTCTAATTTGTAACACACACTGTCTTGCTGATGTCTATACATTATGTTTTCTTAAAGTTAATAGTTCTTTCTTTTCGTTTTCCTTTGCAATTTTGTCTAGGAGTTCCTGTAGATTTCTTTCCGTGTCTGCCAGCAAGACAAGCGTTTCTTGCATTGTTAAGATGATGTCTGCTAATAATAAATCCTGGTATGTTTTCCAATGAATCTATTGGATAAAGCGTGTACATGAGCGGTTAGCTAATGTTGTGCAAGTTTACCTTGGATGGGCATGTGTATTTCTGACTAATGTGATTAAGGGAAATCTTTCTGCGCAGTAATAAAATCCATGTTGTAAGCTAAGTGATTCAACTGTGTAGAAACTTTTGTGCTCGTTAAAAATGTACACTCAAAATAGATGCGGAATAAATTGCAAAGAATTCCCCTAATAAGCGACTGGAAATCCAAATCTTTGAAAATTGTGATTCTAACCTGAACACACATATCCATAAAAATTTGGAATATTTGAAATCAGAGCTAAAGTAGAATCAGTGAACAAACGTTCGAAATAAAAATATGAAAAATTATTCCAAAGATCAGCTGAATATTTTGGAGAGATCCTTAAGGGCGAAAAATTGATTGGTTGACTTGTTTTTTTTTACGACTTATCAACCTTTTGCAGCTTATTTAAAGCCAGAAAATATTTTTAGATTGTAAGAATCTTTTTTATCTTTTTTGGTGGGAAGATAACAATGATTTAGGGATACAAGTCTTACTAATTAACCCATAGTTGAGGGGGAAACGGTGGATTCATACCTAATCAGAATTTGATAAACAAGCAAGAAATTATAATATGGATATGAAGTGGGGGATAAATTCTATATTACAATAAATATATAACCTGGTCCCTCACTTCGTGGCCACATCAGTTTCTATACATTTATATTCCATGGAATGTCAATAAATCTAAAAGACATGCCTGTGTAGCTAATCAGTATTTCATTGATTTATTGGTTCGTTTTCTACGGTTTATCAACCCTTTGCAGGTTATTTAAAGCCAGAAAATAGGAGACAAGTAGATATGATTAAAGGAGGCGTTGATAAAGATTTGACACAGAAAGGCAGATAGACATGTGGAAATTGAGATAGAAAGATAAGAATAACTCAAGTCGATAGATAGATATGAAGATTTCATTGATTGATTCATTCGTTTTCTACGGCTTATCAACCCTTTGCAGGTTATTTAAAGCCAGAAAATATTTTATATTGTAAGAATCTTTTTTTTCTTTTTTGAGATAATAATGATTTAGTGATACAAGTCTTACTAATTAATCTATAACTGGGGGAAAGTTGAATCCATGCCCATCCTAGTGTTATTTACATGTATTATAAATTATACCGAAACCAACTGGAATCGAAACTCAACTCTTCGATTAGCAATTCCGAGCCATTATCGATTACACCACCCGCACATTCAAGCACACACCACCTGGTGTTCCCAAGCTGTCAACTATCTAGGTTTTTACCTGGCTCGACGTTGCTTAACTTCGGTGGTCATACGGAAACCGGTGTTCAATGTGATGTAGCCGTAAGCACGGGTGAAAGAGAGAAACGTACAATACGCAAAAATATAGAATGATCCTATTAAAGACTAAAGTAAGATCAGCGATGGTGAAGAAAAAGCAACAGGAGAAGAATAATTATCACGCTCATGGCCGAAACATACCGATAACAATTTGGCTACGGAGACCGCGTTAACAGTTCGATTTGAATGACCTATTTAAGGAACTCCTCTCACTTTTTGGAACATCTATGAATCATTATCTGATGGCTTCAGTTTCATACCAAAATGTAAACAACAGTAATATTTTTGTTTGAGCTACAATCCTTGTTTTTTTTTTTTGCTTTTTTTTTTTTTAATTTTCTTAAACAGTGAAATTAATAACATTTAATAATGAAATTAAATAAGAAATTCAAAATTTCCTCTATCACTGCCTCCCTCCTGGTTAAACTGGTAGCAGCATATTTTGGCTAGAGTAACTATTTCTGCGATTGGAAAAATGTGCAGATTTCGATTCCTGTCTAAGCAAAAATTTACAATTTATCAATTTAGACCTGTTCCTATTGATCTCTCTGTATAAGACATAAAAAGTAACAAAAACAAGAATAACAACTCAAATACATGTCACCGCTCGATTTTAACATCAGTGTCCACTCCAATATATACACACACACACACATAGTCATCTACATAGAGACTGTTTCGCAGCTCATCAGTGTGGCTAGACATCCGATTATCTCAAGCTGGGATCGAAACCCCATCGATTTTGCATCATTCATAAACTCTGTCCCCAAGCTACCGTCACACGACAAAGAAAAAGGGAAATTTTAACCTTTTAACTATACGAAAGACGTCAGTGGCTAGAAGAGCTAGATTTTAGTTGAAGAGCCTTGCATTAGCAGTAGCAGCTACTGTTTATAAAATCAACCCTTCCTCTCCGAGTGCTCAATCGAATTATTTCGAGAGCATATATATATATAGAGAGAGAGAAAGAGAGAGAGTGTGTGTGTGTGTATTTTAGTTTTAATCCTTTCGAGTCCACGAATTAATTGCTTGGTGGCTGTAAAAAACTGATTAAGAAAAATAACAAAATTTTCTTTCAAATAATTTTTATTTTCCCAAGTACTTTCACGTCCACGTGAAGTTAAAATGTTGGGACCTTTTTACACATAAGTTCACTTTTAATCCCGGATTTTGTATCTATCCTACAAAGCACAACGTTTCGGCCGGTCAGTGAAGTGTTGGATGTGACTCACGTTGTATGTTTAGAAACGTAGTAGTGTATTAGATAAGAGCTAGGCGAGATATCCCTAGACGTAGTAAAACGAAAACGAATTGCACCCGTAGTTCATTTCTGGATTCCCGGTAGGTTACACGAATCGACATACACCTGATGAAGGCCGGAGGCCACAACAGCTGAAGCATCGTGACAACAACAACAAAGATGAGGACAATAGTGCGCATGTTATCATCATCTAAAGTGCCGTGGGTGATACACCCATGGGCGAATGACTTGAAATCAGAGAGGTTTACGGTTTCATTCCGTATCCCAATCTTGTGTTTGTTCGAATCATTGTACTAAGCCAGTCGTGGCTCGAAGTAGAGGGGCCAGAGTTTTTTTCTTCTAGACTGGTTCCTACCCAAGGCTATATGACCCAGTCAGTCCTGCTATTTATCCAGAGCTGGAGGGGAGGATAGATGGATTCGTATTCTTCCTTAGGGATAATATCATCTAAATGAATATAAAGAACCCGACTGGAATTCGAACTCAGCTCTAAGATTTCTCAATCTGATACGCTATCCACACAATCCGCATGTAAATAGTATAAATAAAGATAAATACTCATCCAAGGACAAAACGATTAACGGAAAGAAAAATACAATCAGTGAAACGAGTTTAAACTCATATTGAGACAAACTGTATTCACTTTGCAGCAAAGTACTTGGGAAGGGTATGAAAAAGTAGGGGATCCCCAGGAGTTCCGCCAAAGATTGGGGCGTCTCTCCCAGATTCTTCCTCCCGGATTGGTAAAGGAGAAGTGGGGTTTTTTTTTCCGTCGGGACGGATGCTGCAGATGTAGTATCTGCTCCGTACCGGAGTTTTTCTTTCCCCACCCACCTTGCGTTCCTTACACTATTGCATGACATCTGTTACGTAGCCGTGGTATGACAATCTATGACTAGCTTAGGCAAGCTCTGACCAGCTTAGACGAGCTCCGACCAGCTTACAGACGCTAAGACCAGCTTAAACCAGCGGTCCGAGTGGAAACAATCGTGTGTCCCCACGTTAAAAACCGACCTTGTGTCAAAACCCGACTCAGTGAGGGTGGCAAGTAAATCTCATGTATGAATAAGCGCAAATGATGCAACTTACATTGCCAAATTATCTATTGATTAAAATGAATTCAAATACAGTTCAGTGTTTACAAAAATATTTTTCCAGGAAATTTTAAAATAATTAAGCATAGAATTTCATTGTAAGTCTTATATTTATTTGTATTTATGTTTTAACAAAAACTTTAAAAACATTAAATAGAACTTCTAAGTTACTTAAAAGCAATAATTCTGATAGAAACATTTCTTGGCCACAAGCAGCTGATATGACATATAGTTAACTCGTTTGATTGTATTCATTGTAGATGCTTAAAAGCTGGGCACGTATAATGGTTAGAAAGCTTGTCTCGCTAGATCAATAAAGACGGAGTAATCAGTTCGATCCTCACCGAGTCCTCCATACTTTGTGCCTTATGCCACTTCAAAGCTACGTAAATCGCTGTAGATGTTTACAAAATGAAAAATTTGTCACCGATCCCTTCATGTTAATATCTGTTAAATGTACAGCACCTTGGGGCTGTCATATGCAGAATAATCAGGATGGATGCGGTTATGACTCTTCACAGCTTCCTTTACATTAATATGTGTAAATTGTGTAGAACTTTATTACCTGAGGAACCGTTATATACAACATAAACTTCGTTATCACTTTAAGTAACATGTCAATTCAGGACTTATGCGGTCATGACTCCTCACAGCTTCCTTTAATTTGTTAACTCTCCAGTGTTATATTTCTTCTAAGGAAAGGTGAAATTGTTTGCCGTTGCTTTTTCTATAATTTTGCATTGAGTGTCATTTATCTCCTTTATTGGTTGCAAGTCAAATCGAGAACTGAATAATCAATTTGGTTTGGTTTGTTTTTCGGTATATCAACCTCAATGGGTTATTTAATGCCGACAAAATTTTTATTGCTGGTAATATTTTCTTTCTTTCTTTCTATCTATCTATCTATCTATCTATCTATCTATCTATCTATCTATCTATCTCAGTATATATATAGATTTAGTTTGTTTTGTTTTACAGCATATCAACCTCAATGGGTTATTTAATGCCGACAAGATTTTTAATGCTGGTAATATTTTCTTTCTATCTATCTATCTATCTATCTATCTATCTATCTATCTATCTATCTCAGTATATATATAGATTTAGTTTGTTTTGTTTTACAGCATATCAACCTCAATGGGTTATTTAATGCCGACAAGATTTTTAATGCTGGTAATATTTTCTTTCTATCTATCTATCTATCTATCTATCTATCTATCTATCTATCTATCTATCTATCTATCTCAGTATATATATAGATTTAGTTTGTTTTGTTTTACAGCATATCAACCTCAATGGGTTATTTAGATGTATTGCTAGTAATATTTTTCCCCCAAAATGTAAAGTTGGTAATATTTTTTCTTCAAAAACATTGTTGGTGATATTTCTTTTCCTTCTAAAATTTATTGCTGGTAATATTTTTTTACAAAGCATTTCTGGTATTAAAACTTATTTTTACCCCAGTTTCGGGGTTAACTATTTGCTCATACTTGGGACCCTAAGAGGTGCTACCACCCCGGGTCATAGTGGACCTGGGAACACCAGCAATTAAGAGGTGGTTCCATGCTCCTCAAAACCTCCTGATCAGAGGCATTGCTGCTGGACGTAGTTTATCGTCTTACCCAGGACGCGGATCTAATTTATTGTCATACCCATCGATTTGGGTTTTTACGGTTTATCTACTATTTGCTGGTTACTAAAAGCTGAGACATATAGTAAGAACATTTTTTGATAATAACAATGATTTTACAGATACAAGTACTATTATCTAACCCATGTCTGTAGAAGGAAAGGAATTTATACCTTTAGGAATGGTATTTGCGCGTAAGTGAAATCGAACTTAGAAAGCCGAATTCGATTTCCAAATGCTATAGAAATATACCATTAGAAACAAAGAAAAGTGTACTGAACTGTTACCAAATATCAGTCCTCCTATATGGCAGTGAATGTTGGACAGTCTCCTCACAAATGAAGAAGAGGCTTGAAGCAATAGTTCTACAGAAGGATGCTAAGAATACCATGGATCGAACATGTGATAAAGATTTAGAAAAAACGGAAACAAAAAGGACACTTATAATTAACATCCGGAAGAGACAGTTGAAAATTATAGGGCACATAATGAGGAAAGAGGACTTGGAAAATTTGTTACAGATTTAAAGCAAGAATGACATAAGAAAGTGATACAATGGAATATGCGTACACCTGTATTCCCCCTCAGTGGAATATGATTGGCTGGTGTCCGCCATAAATACCGATGGACGTGTAGGTACGACAGAGTCAAAGAAAGAGTCTTAGTCTGAGAGGTTAGTCTATAACGATGCCCATTGGACTACGCCATTGATCTACACTTCTTACCTGCGACTACGACGCGTACCAATCGATTACTGCTACCGTATTGTACTTGGTTATAGTAGCCAAAAACCACTTAGCTACTTTATTCAAATATATCCTTTTCCGGGACATATCAGAAAGCAACACATAACTTACCTAGCGAGCTTGTGTAGACGGATAGCAGAGCAAAGTTTATGAGAGCATATACAGCAAAATTTATTAAAAGCTACAAAGAACAGGGGCTTTCGGCCATATAGCGTTGAAACAGGGGTTCCCGTACTATCACCTAAGATAAGCAACATCGAGCCTGGTCAACAACTTAGGAATGCCAGGTACTATAAGCTTGGATATGTGAGTGGTGTAATGGATAATGGCACGGAATTGTTAACCGGAGAGCCGAGTTCCAATTAGCACTGAGGTCGTTATATTAACTTGTCTTCATCGGAAAAGTATGAATTCACACATTCTTTCCCCAGCTATGGGTTAATTAGTAAGATTTGTATCACAAAATAATTATTACCTCCAAAAATATTTTTACCATCAAAAAGTATTTTCTGGCTTTAAATAACCTGTAAAATGGGAAGCCGTTGAAAATGAATTATTAAAAAAAGTATAGGAAATTGTGGAGAGCTATGATTTCCTATGTTCTAAAGGGACATGACACGTAGAAGAAGAAGAAAAATCCAGGATACTACCAGAACACCTAGCTAAAGCCAGAAAGTAAATTCTATACTGTTTAGTGTAATTAGATATAGTGTCATGTTTTTCGTTAGTTTATTAGTAGCAATTGACAGGCACGTGGCCGAGAACGTTCGCTTTCTGACCATAAGCCCCGGGTTCGAATCTCACCATTTTCGATTTGTCAGGAGGATGTTATCGGTCTGGGGGGAGGCGATCCCGCGTGAGGCATCTTTGGAAAGTTCCTGAAAACCACATCACGAGCCTTGTGAGTGACCTTTGGTAGACGGAACTATTTGGGAGATTGCGATGGTTTTGCTAGCACGAAGTCACAAGTTATCGTGACCGAGTGTTTGAGCATGCTGACCTTGCTCAGACTGTTGATCACGCCGGATAATAATAATAATTCTCTCTTTTAAGGTTCGATCAGCATAGCTATAGTATGAACTACAGATTGGGCTCTGTGGATGCTGAACAAAGATAAAACCTGCCTGAACAGGCCTCTGTAACAAGGATTTGCTAGTATCTGTCTATATTTCTGAGATTAGCTATTATGTACATTATTTACATTATTCAGACTATTGTCCTTATCTTTGTCGCCTTATTTATTACAACGTTTTGGCCGTTGTACGCTCCGGCCTTCTTCAGGTAGTTGGAATGTCGAACTGAACCCTTTATTTAGCTCACTGGGATAGACTGTTCTAGTTCCACGTGCCATGTTTTAATGGATGTCAGTTATCAGTTATCTCCTGTTAATTTCCCTTCACTGACTTAGTTTGAGTTCAATACCCGGTTAAGGCAGTGGAGAACTTTCAGAGGGAAATCTTCCACAAATATACAACAACGATTGAGAAGTAAAAGGAATATTCCGGGGGCAGGGTCATTGGTTAATAATTTTTTATATTTGAGTTCTTCGCTATGGTACCTAGACTTTATGAATCCAAGCCCAGTACTAGACTGGCGAGGTATCCCCAATATATAGATGAGTTGGCGAGATGTAACCATAAAGTCTATACTAACAGTTTATTTTCTCGCACTTCTTGCTTGGGGAACTATCTTCCGGTTCTAAGCTTTTCAGGCAAAAATTTAAATGCAATGTCAATCGTTATCTACCGTCTCCCTGATTACTCTTCTATTGTTCTCTCTCTTTAATCTCTTTTTTCATTCACACTCAGGCCCCCCCCCGTGTCTTAGTGGCTTTGCTGCCTGGCATGGGGTGAAATGATTAAAATAAATATGCCCGTTGCCAACAAATATACACGTTTCCTGATGATATGCACGTCGACCTCAATTTTTTCCGTCACTCTAAAATATACATCTCGTAAACACTAATGCACTTCACACAAAAATGTGTCGTTGCTCTAAGATGCGCATGGCACGGGAAAATATATGCAAAGATATGCATACGTTTATATAAAACGTATGTAGCATGAATATATGTAGGTCAGACACAAGTATGAATATGGTAGAAAGGGATGTAAGTTGCCCACAAATATACACAGTGCACGAATGTCTGCATGTCGTACACAAATGTGCATGTTTCCAGCACATATGCCCGTCCGAAGAAGATTTCCAAAGTGTGGAGAAAGCATAAGGAAACGACTTTATTGTGTCTCCAAAGAATGCATGGTAATTCAATGATAATAAAAAAAAAAGGAATCTGTGGCGAGCCATGATCGTCTACGTCTTGAAGGACCATGGTATTAAATCAATTTTTACTGTATGATTGTACTTCGTCCACACCAAATAAGCATGGCACTGGCAAAAATGTACGACAGCTGAAGATATACTCTTCGCTCACAAATTAAAAAAAAGTTGACTTATGTATAGCTTCAATTTTTCAAAGAACAACGATAAGTTTTTACATTTTTGATAGAATGCATATATTTGCTGATTAAATCCAATTGTAGTTTGCACTCCCAGTTGTACAAGGATTGGTTATAGAATAATAATAATAATAATAATAATAATAATAATAATAATAAATTTAAGCAGAAAATAAAATGTTATTTGAATTCTTCAATTTAGAAACAGGAATCTTGGAAGAAGAAGAAGAAGAAGAAGAAGAAGAAGAAGAAGAAGAAGAAGAAGTTTGGAATTTTCGTATTTCAAAAAATGTCTTCCCCTGACAAAATGCTTATACAAACATGATTAAAAAACAGCGTAACGCGTACTATAAAACTTCTAAGATATAATAATAATAATAATAATAATAATAATAATAATAATAATAAAATTGTTCTAACAAGTACACCTCATACCTTTACAAAAATGTTCTGTGGAAAATGTTATGAAGCCATTTCAAACCTTAGGTCTCTGTTTGGAACCCGGAAGGAAATTAGTATACAACAGGAATCAAATGGAATAATAATAATAATAATAATAATAATAATAATAATAATAATAATAATGGCCCTGATGCTACATTAAGCATAAATTATGACTTCTGATGTTAACTGGTTAGAGGCATAAACATGTACATGTTTTGTCTTGGTGAATTAAGCTGGGGTAAACTAAATATTCTGTCAGTACCCCAAATTTGCTTGTCAGTTGTCTGAGCGTAACCATTTGGGGGTGTCTCCTAGTGACTGATATTTTGCAACCATGTTCATTAACAGGAGTAGTGCGGAAGCGTCATGGCTGACTGTACGGAATGCCCCCTCCAAGTATACGTTAATATTTAACCTATAGTTAGGGGAGAAGTGACGGATACATGTCTTTTCTAAATGTAATTGTTGCGAAAATAAACGTAAAAGATTGTACTGGAATTTGAAGTCGACTAGCCAATACCAATTACAGAACCGACACATCCAGATCTTAGATATCATTTATATAAAGTAATGAGTAAATGGTCAATTTTGTTTAGCTGCATATCAACCTCTATCGGTTATTTAATGCTGAAATCTAAATATTTTGAATGTAGTTGGATGCTTTGAACCACAGATAAAATGTATCGATGGTCATTTTTTTGATGAAATGTATTGTTGTTAATTCTACTATAAATAGGTTTTGTTGGTAATTTTACTATAAAAATGTACTGTTACTAATTTTTTATATAAAAATATATTGCTTGTGTTTTTTTACTATAAAAATTTACTGTTACTAATTTTTTATATAAAAATATATTAGTTGTGTTTTTTTTACTAAAAAAAAGAACTGTTACTATTTTTTTTATATAAAACTATATTGCTTGCGTTTTTTTACTATGAAAATGTACGGTTAATAATTTTTTATATAA